GAGGCTAGAAGTGTAAGATCAAGGTGTTGGCAGGTTTGGTTTCTTCTGAGGTTCTTTGCTTGGTTTGTAGGTAGCCCTCCTACTGCCTCTTCACTTGGTATTTTTTCTGTGAACGCATCCCTGGTGTCTCTTCCTCTTTTTATAAGGACACCAGCCACATTGGATTAGAGCTCCAGCTTGGTGGCCTCATGTCACCATCATCACCTCTTTGTTGTTGTTGAGGTATAATTGACAAATAAAATCGTAAGATACTTAAAGTGTACATTCCCCCGCCAAGTTAATTAATAAAGGCATCGCCTCACATATTTATCTTTTTTTTTTTTTTGGTGAGAACATTTAAGTTCTTTTAATTTTTTCCTAATCTCATATATTTACTCCCATGCTTTTTGTTCTTTGGTATTAGCCTTTTTGTCTCCCTTATCTCAAGTGTAATACATTCCTTTTTTTAAAGTTTACCTCCTTTTATTTCTTGATTTTGCTATTCATACTTTTTTCTTAAAATCGTATTTTTTTCTTATTTTTGTCTTTTTGATTTTGTTTGTTATCCTTTCATTCTAATTTAAATTCCTATTGACTTAATTTTTTCATCTCTCTTTTCTTGGGCATTGATTCTGCCCCTTCTCTTCCTGCACCCCTCATGGTTTGATTTTATACGGGCTGGAAGGATATGTAATCCTCAGGAGGTGGTGCCAGTGGACGGTGTCAGTCAACAAACAGGGAAGGTCTGTCTCTCCTCCTCCTGTAGTCTCTAAATAGATTTTATATGTCTTTGTTTTGTCTTGAGCCCTAAAATTACAACTTGGGGTATATTGATTAAACCATTTCCCAGGATAGTGATGATTTGCTTGCTTTCTACAGATGGCACATGTGAACTTTCGGATTGGCTTTTGGACGGCACACACCACCTATGTGGGAAGCTGATTGTTCTGAAACCTATGGTCTGTAACATGGATTTTGCTACTCAGACAGATGCATGTAATAGCTCTGCTGTGGAACAGATGAGCTGTTTCAGAACCTTTCTTGAGGCTTTTTTCCTAGCTCAGAAAAGGCAAAAATATCTACCCTTCATAGATATTATATTCGTAGTGCATACAAAATATTCTGCATTGTGCCTGGTACGGTAGTCACTCAGATGTGGGACAAGCCAGGCCAGCCATACGTCATCCAGAGGAAAATAAGTGAGTGTGTAGATTATTTCTGGAGTGGGTCTCCCCTAGCAAAGCCCAGAGTTCGAGAGAACTATGGGATGTTAAGAGTCTTGCTGGGAAGGTCACATGGCTCTGGGTTCATGTCTAGGCTTCTGGCCTTTCTCCACTTCGGCTGTCTGTAATGCCCACATACTAAGGTAAGCATGGTTTTAACAATTTGGGGATGGTGGTATAGAGGAAAGAATCCCTTTACTACAGAGACTCAGCTCGTAAGACATAACCTGATTTTCAGGACTATACAGTGTGAGAAAAATGCCTGTTAAAAATCAAGGATTTTTATCTGTAGTTTGGTCCATCTTCCTCAGCTGGGTTTTGGGATGATTGTCTCACTGTGAGGGCCTCCTGAGCTGAACTTTTATTAAGCTCAGGGATTTTATCTCACGGACTGGCAAATCTCTGCTTGAGGCTCCCACCATCTGACCTGGCTCCCTAGGGACCTCTGCCTCTTGTCCAGTGCCAGAGTCCTTGGGAAGAGGAGTCCATTCCATTTACTGCCACAGGCTCTGAATCTCTCAGGATGTGATGGGGGTAGGTGGTATGTGTGGCACGGAGAGAAGAGCTGTTTCTGGTCTCTGGCTTCCCAGGACTCCCTGTAGGATCACCTGACCACTGACTTTCTGTGCTTTGTTCCTGTAGACCACTGGTTCCTAAGCTTGGTTGCATACTAGGATCACCTGGGCCTGGATCCCGCCCCCATGGATTCTGTTTTAATTCATCTGGGGAGTGGCCTGGACATCTGTTTTTGTTTTTTGGGTTTTTTTTTTTTTTTTAAAGCTCTTCAGATGAATCTGATGTGCAGCCCAGCTTGATTTGTACCGCCGGACTGCTTTCATGCTTCCCTGGTCAGATCCTGCCTGTGGCTTGAACCCCTTGTTTGCTTCGTTTATCCCCCTCATGATATTTCCTGCAGACCTTCATCGGGTTGGGGGCTCAGAGGGAGGCAGACAGGAGGGCCCTCCAGCCCCGTGCTGGCTTGAGCAGCTCTGTCAGCATCTGTTTCACAGATTGCCCTTTGATTCTAGAAGGGCGTTCTAGAAAGTTTGTGAGCCATTGGGGCCCAAGTCACCCTTTGTGTGTCAGAGCAGAGCTACTAGGACTGCTTTCTGAAGAGAGCTTGCCTGTACTTTGTTCTGCCTTCTTGCGGCTAACCAACTTAATTTTCAAAATGCGTCACAATCCTTGCCTCTTAATTAACTGTAAAGCAAAAAATCTTCCCGTAATCGACTGTGCATTAGTAACTGCATTTGAGTTTCTTGCAGATTTTCACATCAAATTTAAAAATTTCCAGTTCTCAAAAGCTTAGTTCTAGAATGAACAATCCTGGAGGTAGCCTATCATCTATCTCTAGTTCTCTGCCGTGCCTTTTTGCATTTTTTGTGTGTGAGGTTGGGGGCTGCTGAACACTTTCTTCAAGATAGTTGATGCGGCAGGTGAATCAGATGAAGCTGAATAAAAGGAGCAGGGGCTGAGTCCCCGTTCTTCCCCCTGCCCCCCGCCCCAGCCCCACTCCCAAATCCCTCACCTCACTTTCACACACAGAAACCAGGTCAGTCATGACTGCCTCATTTCTCCTTTGAGTCAAGGTAGCCCATCAGAGCTTCCCACTTAGGCCTCACTGTTGTGGCCGCTTGGTTATATTTTTTCTTGGACTGTGATTGTGGCTTTTATTATGGGATGTTATTAAAAAAAAAAAAAAGGTAGTTCTTTGGAAGTTGTGAACTGTAAAAAAAAAAAAAAAATCCAGGGATGTTGTTTGCAATACTAGCCCCTTCAGAGACTCCACTGCTGAGCATGTACGGGAGAGATCTTTCTCAGCCTGGTGTATTAGGAAGTGTATTCCTCCTCAGCTGCTGATTCCCATTACGCCATGGACACTCCAAGTCCTTGTAATTGCTCAGACTTCCCTTCCTGCCAAGCAGATAGGAAGCTCTGTGTCAAATCTTTGGCTGCCTTGAAGAAATGTCTAGTGCATGAGAGAATGTAATTTTGTGCACTAACTTTACCTCAACTCTATTTCTTTTCTTAAAATTATTATCTATTTGGCTTAATTTCTTCATTCAGTTTTTTTTTCTTTTCTTGTAAAATACGCATCCTTGTTAGCCCTATCATCCTTTTGAGAATGAGCTCATGTACCAATAAGTAAATAAATATTTTAAGAAACTGCCCTTTTGATATACTCTTCCTACCGCAGTGTTAGCTCTTGACTTTGCTCTCGGCCCTAGGTCTTCTGACTGGTCCTACTGCCTTGGTCCGCCTCCTGTCTGCAGCCCCTCGTCTGTGGGGTCTAGCCCAGCAGCTCAGGGTGGATGGGCTCTATTAGCAGGAACTGCCTCCATTTCCCAACCAATATCCTGTGGCTCAAGCCCCTCCCACTCCCCTGTACTTCTGTAGCTCCATTTTGTTTTGGTTTTGTGTGTGTGTGTGTGTGCGTGTGCGTGTGTGCGTGTGTGTGCTCCTGGGCCTTTGCTCTCCATTTCCACTGATCTGAAGCCCATCTCCCTGCTTTCTCTGCTGAGTCGGTTTCCTCTATGAACCCTTTGCTGATCCCCTCTAGGCAGAGTCCACTGCTTCCTGGATGTCACTTCCTCCCCTGGTGCACATGTCTGGTTGACTAACCAGGCTGTGGCTCGCCTGGAGGCACCTTTGTGCAAATTAGAAAAAGGCACCTGCCCCTTCCTCAAGTCACTTTCTAGAATTTCCAACTGTTGGAAAACTGTCTTTTTAATAAATAGGAGTCTAAGATGTTTAACCTGGAAATGGCAGCCTGCGAGGATTGTGCTGCACTGAACTGCACAGTTGAACTTGATGGCCCTTTTGTGAATCATCCAGATTCCCCTCAGCACTGTTTGACCAGAGCAGGCCCTCTGCAACCGTTTGCTAAAGAAAAGAAAGAGTGAAAGTCCAAGTACATGCCATGTTTTTATCACAAAAGATAGTAGGAAAGGCCCTGAACATTATGAATATATTCAGAGACATATTTATTTATTAATTTATTTTTTATTTTTTATTATTATTTTTTTTTGAGACATATTTATTTTTTACATTTCAGTGTTTCTGAAATCAGCAGGTATCTTAAAGTCACTGTATCATGGTGGTTCAGAGCACAGATCCTGGGCCAGACTGCCTGGGTCTGAATCCCAGTTCTACCACATAGACAATATGTCTGTGACTTTGGGCACTCTGCGTCACCTCTCTGTGCCTCAGTTTACTGATCTGTTAAATAGGGATGATAACAGTAGTTCCTACTTCATGGGGTGATTGGGAGAATTAAATGAATTATTGTATGTACAGTGCTTAGAATATAGGTGCCAAGCACCTAATAGTGAGAGATATGTGTCACCTATTATCATTATTATTAAAGTCTGTGCACACACTTAATACACTGTTGTTTCTTTTTAACCCTGAGAAACTGTCTTTAATTCATGGTGTATAGCTTCTATTGATAGCGTCTCATTTTGGTGGGCGGCTGCCTGGCCCCGGGCTTATAAGCGCTGTGGTCAAACACCTGCCACGGGTCCTGCCCCTCCCACACCAGTTTTCTGATTGCTGAAAGAGATACATAGCACACACACAGGAAACAGCAGGCTTTGTTGTCTCTTCTTAATAGGGCAGAAGAGAAAGGGGGGGAATCCAGGGCCCTTTATAGACAAGGCTTGTTTTGAAATTTAAACCTAACTTCTTATTTATGTTGCAAGGCTTGGATTGGTAATAAATCTTGGCTGTCTTAAAACTGGAAATCAGAGAGAATTGGGTTTGAAGAGTGATTTTAATGTAAAAATCTTTATCTAATTGCAGAGCAACTTTCCTTTGATGATTTTCAAGAAAGCTGTGCTGTGAAGTGGCAAAGGTAATGAATGTTCTGGGGCCATGTTCCCCATTAGAACCCGCCAGAGTATTCTCAAGTTAGACAGTAGATGTAAGTTTTCCCTCAGCAATTGTGAGTTTTTCCTGGTCTCTCGTGTCCGCCTGTGACTGTACCTTCACATGAGAGATGGTGTGGCCATTCTCTGCATTGTTTCAGGACACTTTTCCCCCCATGCCTCCTGTCAACTTTAGAAACTGCAGCCTTGTGGGGAAGTTCTATGTGAGTCACGCTCAGTGCCCCACCCTCCTGAACTGTCCTTCACATTAAGCAAGATCTGGTTCATGCATTTTTTGGAGATGCTCTGACCATTTTCATTATGAGACAGAATGGCTTTTCCCAGATCACATTGCTGTAATTGACTTACATGCAACTTTGATAACTATTCTTACATGCTACCCAGCACCGTCAAAACTGTCACAGCAATCCTACTACATGTGTCTGGGGTTTCAGCGGCCTTCTCTTCGTTGAATAAAACTGGGTATAAGTAAATTAATACAAGGATCATCTATAGCTTCACCCTCCCTAATTTGATATGTTGATGAAAATCCTTTCCATACAGAAACCTCAGTTTGATGTTATTTTCGTGTGGCACTGGTAAACTTTAGTCCTGTCTGAGGGTGTGTTTAGTTCTCAGTTCCCAGAAAGGATATCCACATGAGGAACTTTGTGAAGAAGAACAGGCCTTCTTATGGATTCATGTCCTACAGGTGTCAGAAATGATAAGCAGACTGTAGTTATTACGCTCTGTATTCTAGAAGGTAAAGGAGGGGATGGTGAGAATATAGATACCTTGACTCAAAGGTCCAGCTGGCGGAGGACCTAGTATTATGCTCAGTTCTCTTGCACGGCGATGCCTTGGACCCCTGTATGTCCCATCAAAGGTTTTGTCCTAAAGAAGCACATAAAATCTAAGGTGAAATCTTCAAATGGGGACATAAACACTTCATCTTTCCCTTTATATAAACTGGGATTTCCGTCTCCATCTAGAATCTCATTTCTTTTTGGAGAAATACCAACAAAGACAGAGGAATTTACCTAAATCTCACGGAGGGTGCGGGTGCCCCGATGCAGCGTTCGTGGTCAAAGCAAACTGGAAGCCTACAGAAAGAATCTGACTCATAGGCATTTTGTTGGGGTTTTTTTGGTTTTTTTTTTTAGTTGGTTGTCAACATTTAGAATTAGAACAGTTTCCCATAAAAGACCTCTTGAAATACTGGAAGATCCATTCAGATTTGGCCCACATTAACCATGGTCAGCTGGAGCCGGGTTGAAGCTGTCCCTTGGCTGGGCCATGCACTCCTCACTTTTCAGTGTCTGCTCTCATTTATGTGACTTGTGTGGTCCTGTGGGCATTTGAATGGTGACCCGGATCGAAGCCATTTATGGCTACTCTGTTTTATGGCCGGGTATCTTACGGCTTCACAGAAAGGCCCTGGCTAGGTGTGAGCAGTGGTTACATGGCCGCCGGGAAGGAGGCTAATGGGTGCCATTGAGGCCCAGGTGCTGCTCCAAGCCCCACCCAGGCCTTCAGGAGACAGGAGTTAAGGCCAGGGTGGGTGTGGTGTGCTGACTCGGCTGAGCTGGCTCCTCTCCATCTCTTCATTCATCCTGAAAGTCATGACCACAGTTTCCTCATCCAGGGGGTGGGACATTTTTCCAAAATATGAAAGAAAGCAGCCAGTGACCACGCCGGCCCATTCGTAGGCTCATCAGACCAACTATTGCTACAAAAGGATAAGCTTCCTGTTTACCAGCCGGCGTGAGACAAAGTGGTTGTGCTTCCTGGCCACGCAGGACTTGGCACACAGGCTGGGTTCTGTCCGAAAAGACAGCAGGGCTGAATGCTTGCTCTGTGCTCAGCCATCGCCCCCACGGCCTGGGTCCTGGATGTGGGCCACTCTCGGGAGGGCACTTCTGCTTTGGCTCCAGAACCAGTCCTGGCTTTCTGAAAGGAAGCAAACAGGGAAGGTGGCCTCGCCTCCTGCCTGGCTTCCTCTGTAGCTTTCCTTTCTCTGTGGGGCCCCATCCAGGCAAAGGCCCTAGGCAGAAACCTGAATGTAACAATAAATTCATGTCTTTTGTTTTCAAGTCTCCAGGAAGCAAAATGCCCTGGTCCCTGGGGAAACTGGTCTTTTATTCCAGCGTGGTGGCCAGTGGGGCCTGCACCCTTACATATTACCTGATACAAAGTAAGTATCCAGCAAACCAAGCCTGCCCCAGGCAGGCTTCCTCCCAGTCTCGCACCCCTGCTCCTCCATCAGAGGCAATGCTTCAGATGCGTTCAGCAGATTAGAGAGAGGAGGAGAGGCTGTTTTTAGCAGCCGGCACACCGTTCTGTGGGCTCTAGCTTCCTGCTTATCCTCTGACCCCAGTTTCTCCTGGAGCTCCACGTGCATGTGAAAGGACCAGGCTTCATTTGCATCAGAAGCCTTGTAAAAAGCAAGAGGGGCTTTCACTCCAGTGCGCACACACGAGAGATCCCTTCAGATTTCTGAGATGATATAAAGAAGAGAGGGAAGGGGGGAGTACCAGATGGTTCACAGGTGGGGAAAACTGGCTGTTTCTCAAGTGTTGTCAGCCTGTTTGCCCTGCCGTTCTCTGCTATTGACTGAGTGGAGGAGGGGACCTTGAGCAAGGGACTCTGGTGAGAGCAGAAAATAAAAGCAGAGTCCAGGATGCAAAATCCGGGCAGAAGCCGCTTCCAGCCCCACTGCACCCAGATTTGAATTTGTAAAGATGGGCCACAATTACTGTGGGCAGCCAAGACTTTTAAGGTCATTTCAATGCTATTGGTTGCAAAGCAGCGGCAGTTTTTTTCTAGACTGACTTTCTTTGAAGATCCTTTATGCCTGCCCAGCTTGGCTTCTCACCCTGACTCTGTGCCATTTTCACTTCCTGCCAGGATGTGAGTATCACCAGCAGACCGGCAAAGAGAGCTCAGTGGCCTCTGCGTACATTCTTCCCCACCTTCCTTCGGAGTTGGCCCACAGGTCCCTGAGTCTTGAGGTGGCCTGAGATGTGCACTGCCAGGGATCATTCAGACTGGAATACCTCCGTCTCCTCTCCCCTCTGCCTAAGGGATGGGGACAGGGCACAACCCCATTCTGTGGGTCCGGAGACTGCCAGCCTTCCCCTCCCTCCTGAGGAGGCTGGGGTCGTCCGGTAGAGACAGCTGAATCTCCGCACTGGCTGTGTGGCCTCGTTGGGGGCTCTCTCACCTCAGTTATCTGTGGGATGAGGGGTAATATCAGTACCTGTGCATGAGGTTGTTTTATAATAAAGCTCACAACCTGTGAGGTACTGAGAATTATGAGATGTATGAAATATTGAGAACAGTGTCTAACCATGGAAATCTGGACCCAGCTTCTGCTCCTCCTTTCCCTGTCTTGGCTGGCACCTGTTCACGCCTGCAAGCCCCTGCAAGCCCACTGCTGGGAAGCAGCCCAGGAGGAGCCTTCTCCCTGGCATCTCTAGGCTCAGGCTGTCTTTCCCTTCTATCACTGGGATGGGGCCTGCAGCAGGGAAGCTCTTGCTTGTGGCCTAACTGCAAGCCCTACTTGGGAAGCCTACCCTACAAGGGCAGCTTGTCTACCTTCCACCTTCAGAGAGATGCTTCCTGGAGTTACTAGTAGCCTTTGGGCCAAGAAGTGTATGTACCTGAGACTGAGAGAAGTTTAAAAGATTTACCTACAGGAAATGTTGCCTTAAATCTAAAAACTTTGACAAGTGAGCATTTTCAGTGTCTGTTTCTTGGCCCGAGGGTTTTTGTTGTTGTTGAAGTTGTGGTCTGTCTGATTTTATGCTGGTTTATCAGGACCTTCATCTGAGTGGAGGGAACAGTGTTTAGAAGTCCAGAGTCATGGGTTTGGGCCCCAGCTCTGCCACAGACTAGCCGTGTCACTTTGAGCAAGTCATGGAGTCATAGGGCTTTAGAACTGAAAGGAAAGCTAGAGAAGATCCAACCCCTTAGATGAAGAAATGAGGCGGGAAATGAGAGATGGAAAAACTGAGGCACAGAAAGATCAAGTACCTCGCTCAGGTTTATCTGCCACGTTCCCGCAGGTACTGACTTTCTCTCAAATGGATAGCTTACAGTTAACCATCCCTAATTATTTTTCCATCCAGAAATTTCACATTTGTTTCTGTTTCCATGCTGTACATGAATTGTATCCTCTAACTTTCTACAGAGAGTCTGTCTGACCAAGTTTCAAACAGAAAAGTAAATGTAACAACTGTCTTTCCCCTTTAGAGGCTTTTTCCAAGGCTTCCTATTACCAGCAGGCATTGGAACAGCTGCATGGCCACCCCGAGGCCCTGGAAGCCCTGGGCACTCCCCTCAATGTCCACTATCTCCGCCTCACCGACAAGTACAACTTCGTGGACATTGCCAAAGCCCAGGTAACGTGCTTCCCTTGCAGCCCGCAGGCTGGGTGCCTGCGGAAGTCGGGGAGAGGGCTGCCTTCATCCGGGGAGAGTCTTGGAAGGAGCTGGAGTAAGGATTCGGGATGAGAAAATCCACTAAGTAAAGCTGCGACTAGGCATTACTGAGCACCTTCTATAAAAGCAATACGGATAAATTTATTCTCATATATTTGTCTTCCTTTCTGAGGAATCAGTGTGGCGGGGAAGGTGGTGTTCTGGCTCGGGTCACCATCTTGAACTGCAGGTTGTAGGGAAGTGACCATGGTGGGGGGGCCACAGCTTCAGCTTTGAACTTGAAGCACATCTGCAGCCAGTCAGTGCTCGTTCAAGTGTGAGCAACTCTTTCAGCTGTAGTTTTCTCATTTACTTGCATTGCTTCCATGGGATGCCAGTCCCGTTTTCTCAGTTATGTCTTGTCTTTTCTAGTTCAGCCGATAAACTCACCTGAATACGAAACGCACTTACTCTTCTGTTTAACAAACATGTTTTGAGTGCGTGTCAAGTTAAAGGAATGATTCTGGGCTCTGTGGGGAATGCAGAGATGCCGAAGGCTTTCAAGGGCTGTAGTTTAAAACTTCCAAGGAAGGCCGGGTGAAGCAGACGCTGTAGTAGTGGCCCAGGAGGGAGCAGGTAGCAAGCTGGGATATTGGTGTAGAGAAAAGGAGTGCCAGGCTGAGGAGTAGCATGCACCTGAAGGCATGTGGCTGTGTTCCCTGCCAGTGCGAACTCAGCGCAGGTGCAGGCTGCCGGGCGAGGTGCGGGCAGAGAGCATGGGCTGTGCTGCTGGGCCGTGACATCATCGTGGGACGTGTGCACACTTGATTCTGGGGCCAGCAGAAGCCATGAAGGACTTTAAGGATGAGTGAGATGCTCTGATCTCGGGGTTTTTTTTGTTGTTATTGTTGTTTTTAGTAATGTTTTTAATGGGAATAGTTTCATTGGGCTTCTTTTTCTTACAAAAGCCATTCATGCTCAAGATTTTGATAAAAATAGTTGATCTAGCTTGAAAAGAAGGTAAATGCATGCTGATTGACAGTACCCAAGGACCAGGCACAGGGAACTGCCTTTCGGAAAGCAGTGTGGCCATGCAGGTGTGTAGCGGTGAGAGCATGAACCAGAGCTGTGGCTTGGTTCTGTCAGGAGAGGGGTGGGTCAGAGGTCACGCTTTAGTGCCCGACAGGGAGGAGTAGACAGATGGCAGTACCACTCCGTGAGAGGAGGAGCCCAGGAGGAGAAAAGGGAGGGGGCGGGCAGATGTAGGGTGCCCACTGCGGGCCACGTGGCATCAGGTCTTTCACACCATGTGGTATGGCTCCTCTTTGTGTCCCCATTGGCCGGATCCCCACAAGCACAAGAACCTGGAAAGGCCAAGGGTGGGGTCTGGCTGTTCACCGTGTGTCCAGCACAGAGCACAGGGCCTGGCTTTGATGCCCAGGAAGGCTGCAGGCACCTCAGCTGAAGGCTGAAGGCTGATGCAGCATCAGTTCTGTGGTCTGGTGCCCCGATGAGTGGTTGACAGCATGGGGGCTGTGCTGGGGGAGCTCCGCTGGTCGGGTCCAGCTTCCCCTCTGGCCCAGCATCCTGGCCCACGCCGAGAGTGTGGTGCCGAGAGCACTTCACCCTGGGCTTCCTGCAGACCCATGGCGGTGTTGGCTGTGGTGCTGGCTTCGGGCTTCTGCTGCTTGGTGGACACTCTGGCTCTGGAGTGACAGGAGGTCAGGGTTTGCTGCCCCGGAGCCGCCTGTTACACCAGCTCTTGTTCTTCGGTTTATGGAGCATGTGCGACATCTTCTCGGCATTCTTTACTTCCTTCCTTTACATCAGCTGTTTGTGTCTACAACACATGCCGGTTTCTCCCACAGTCCCGTTCGTGGCTCGTGTATTTTGTCCAGAGCTAAGAAGGGCCGGTGGTTCATGATGTAGTTGTCGTACTGAATGTATGTGCGAAATAGTTACTACCTACCCACATTTTGGTGTAGCGGATGTCCAGCTTTACTCTTTGGCAAGGCCTGGCCGGTGAAGAAGCAAGTCTGTGCAGCGCCTCGTCAGCCCCCAGAGGCACAGCTGTCTGACGTGCAGACATTGACCCCTCATGTTTGCTGCTCTTCATAATCCTACTTCTGTCCTTCCCCCCCACCTCTCTTTTGTTTTCTTTTAGAATGCAGAGATGCTCAATCGGGGCTCTGTTGCTTAATTTTATTTTATTTTAATTTTTTAAAGCCTTTTTTTTTCTTTTTTCTTTTTTTAAGATTTTATTTATTTGACAGAGAGAGAGAGAGGGAACACAAGCAGGGGGAGAGGGTCCAAGGGAGAAGCAGGCCTCCCGCGGAGCAGGGAGCCCGGTGCGGGGCTCCATCCCAGGACCCCGGGATCATGACCTGAGCCGAAGGCAGATGCTTAACAACTGAGCCCCCCAGGCTTAATTTTATAATCCCGAGAAGAGCTGTGGCTCTGTTCCAAAAGTGGAACCTTGAGGAACTGCCTTAGTGTGACTAGGTGACTGCTTATTCACGTGGGGTATGGAGCCACCATTCCAAAGCCTGTGTCTTCTGTAAAGTGTGTTTACATAAATGAAAGAGGGAGAAAAAACACAAAAGTTGTGTGTATATACCAAGCAGTTCTTTCTCTTGGCAGCAGTTTGGAGCGGGTGAGATACGCCATGTCTTAGCTTATGAGAGGTCGAAGTACGTACCCCAAAATTTCCTGGTAATAGCTCCTCGTTTTAAACCGTGGATTTTTTTTTCTCTTTTATTATGAAAAGTTTCAAACAGACAGAAAAGATAAAAGAATTCACACTGTGGCACCCATGTAACTGCTACCTGGATTCTACGATCAGAGTTGATCCTTGAATGACACTGATTTGAACTGCATGGGCCCACTTAATACGCAGAATTGTTTCCATACAGTACAGTACTGTAAATGTATTTGCTCTTCCTTATGGTTTTCTTAACATTTTTTTCCCCTAGCTTACTTTATTGTAAGAATACAGCGTAGAATACATATAACACACAAAGTATGTGTCACTCGACTGTGTGTGTTATTAGTAAGGCTTCCAGTCAACAGTAGGCTATTAGTAGTTAAGCTTTGGGGAAGTCACAAGTTAGATGCAGATCTTGAAATCTTGTTCAAGGGTCAGCTGTAATATTTTACTTGATTTGCTTTATCCCATATCTGTTCATCTAGTCTAGTCATATCTCTGTCCATGAATGCGTTATTTTCAAACATCCATACACTTCATTTAAGCGCATAAGCAATATATCATTAACCAAAGTTTAATATTCACTTATGGTTCTTTTTTTTTTTTTTTTGAGGTAAAACTTGCATTCAGGGAAAGGTACAGATCTGTCTTATTTGATGAATTTTAATAAATGCATACACCTGTGCAACTCAAGCCCCCATCTAGATGTAGACCGTTCACATCGCGTCCGAGTCCCGCATGCTCTTCCCAACTGATCCTCTCATGTCCCTCAGCCCCCCTAGAGACAGCCACTTTTCTGTTATTTTTTCCCAGCCTAGTTTAGCCTGTTCTGGAACTTGAAATCATGCATTATATACTTTTGGGTAAGGTCTTGCACTTGGCGTGTCTTTGAGATCCGTATTGTTGCACGTATCTGTAGTTTGTTCTTTTGTAGCAGGGGTTTTTTGAGTATCATTGTAAGTACTCAGAGCATTGAGTTTGCACATAAGGTCCCTTTGCCAAATAGGAGGACTGCCATTGACCTCGCCAAACCATCCACAGAGGGGCAGGACATTTGGATGGAGCCAGATGGAAAATCAGGTCAATTCTACAGCTAGGCTCAGTTAGAAAACAACCGATTCTGTGAACGATCATTGGACTTCTTCGGGTTCACTCTAAAAACATCATTTTTTTCATTTCCTTAGAGGACAACAATGTACCCAATTGTATCTCATATTTTTAACCCCCCAGTTGAAGATTCCTGTCTCTGGACCCAAGTCAGAGGGCCATCTCCATGTCATCTCATCGAGAAATGCTCCCTTTCAGAGGTATCGGGAAGGTGGGTGGGAATGGGGGAGAACTTTCTGATGGAAACAATTCTGATTCCCATTTTCATTTGTAGTGAAATGATTGCAGGAATAGGAATTTGTTTTTCAAAGCTTGAAAAGTTTCACAGCCTGGACACCAAGCCAGTGTGTTGGCTCTTAGCTCAGTCCAGACATTTTATCCAGTACAATCTACTGAATTGTCCTCTCCTTGTATTGCTGACCGGGAAGAACTTTCCAGTTACCGTGGTCTAGATCTACGATAATTGATGCTGTGTTACAGCTTCTAACACTACTGTCTCCCGGTCGTTACAAATGACTAAAGTCATGGGTTCCCGTTCCAGAATTATTCATCACATTCTTTATATAAGATCTCCACCTCATTAATTGGCTTTTCTTGTCTGGTTGCCAACAGCTACATTCACTCACTTCCCCCTCCGGAGGCCTCTCTCAGAGATGCTTGCTCTTTAGCCAAGATGCATTTTAATTCCCCAGGACAAAAGGCACAGGCGACCCTCAGGCAACCCCCACCTGCTTCCCCCTGGGCTCGTTGACCCCCGAGCCTGGGATTAATGAAGTTGCTGGCTGAGTTCCAGCCAAGAATCGGAGGTGGATGTGAATTAGGAAATGGGGAATAAGCTGCTCCATCTCTTTCGTGGTGCCCCTTCCATTCTCCTGTCATTCATTCTTTGTTAAACTTGCCGTGACAGCGATGCTGGTGAAACAATGAGAGTCCATAATACAATGTTAAAACCTTATGTGAACGTAGCTCCAATATACAATAGTGTTGAAGACTTTTAAGACATTATTCAAAAAACGACTGATTTCTTCCCCCCCCCGCCCCGCCCCCAACCATGTCTTTTGCCTTGGTGTATGTGAGTAGAGAGACTATTCTTCTGGTTTCTCTCAGGTGGCACCTTCAGGAGGTCTTCTTAAAGCTTGAGGATGGTCAGCAGATTCCCATGTTCAAGCTCAGTGGGAACACTGGTCATGAAGTAGAAAAGGAGTAAAGATGATCAGAAAGACTCTGCTTGCTCCACACACGGCCTTACCTCATCACCACGTGCCCTCCGTGACTGGGAGCCAGGTGTCCAGCCGCCAGGGGTGATTGGATGCTCTGGCATATGGTAATTTTGGTATAATTCTAATTTGACCACAACTACGGTGGTTTTTTTTTTATCAGAAATGAAAATATTACTATAAATTTATAAAGATTTAATTGATAGTTCACTGTCTAAAAACAAAGTACAGAATAAAAGGAATCAGTAAGATATTTGTTAATTTTTGCTAGTTCTCATCTTTCCTTTTTCCTCTCCCCTCCCCCCTCCCCAGAGTCTTTAGTTCCATCAGTGAGAAGACCCAAGACTTACTAGCACTGAAGAGGTCTTTAATTGTTAACATTAGAATGCCCTACCCTTAATTCATGTTGCTAAGTAGCTTGTGAACGTTGTCAATCCCTTGGGAATATTTATTTTTTTTGCTTCACTGTTACTTTATCTTATTTCTATTTTAGTCACCAACGGTCTGCCTGATGGAAGATTTGCAAAATAACTGCTTTAATCCAAACATTTTAGAAGCTTAAAATATTCATATGTGTACATAGCACATGCAAAACTAACTTAGGAATGGGAGTTTAAAGCTACAGGTCCTTATCCTTCTGTTTTACAGACAACCCCATATTCGAGAAGCACACCTTTAGGTTTTACCTGTTTTTAGGGAACAGTATTATGAAGTCAAAGATTTTCCTTCCCTCTGAGCACCGCAGCTGATGAAAACCAGAAATCTGATACCTTTGCTTTGAAAAGGCCAGTTTCACCCCTTAATGCGGTTATAATTGCCTACAATAAAGGACATTCATGAGCTCTTTTCCTACACTCTTAATATTCTTTGGAGGGAAGCCTTTTAGAAAATATTGAGCTTAAACATGCTGGGAGAGCATGAGGCCTTTAATCGTTGGAAGTTATTTCTATTCTGGAGCTTGTTTCTTTAAAAACATACGTTCTTTGAATAGAGTTTAGAGTGAAAAGTGAGTCTTCCCTGAGTGCACTTTTGCCCTGTGTTTGTTGATAGACACTATAATCTGTGCAGTCTTTTAAAGTAAATGGTAACGTTGTATACACAGTTTGTGCTGCTTTATTCTTTAAAAGTTACATACTGTTTATTGTCTGTGTGTCAGTTTGTGTATTGCTTCATATCGGATTGTTCTCCAACTTTTACTTCCTTACAGTGTTTGCTTGGTTTTCTTCATGCTGTTGCCAAATCACCGAAAACCAGGGCCTGGGTGGGCCATCTGTTCTGAAGTCAGAGCAAGTGACAGTTTTTGTTTGTGTAGAGTTTGAATTAATTAAGAGACTTTAATCTGACAGGAAATAGTATTAGATCATGAAAAGATGCTTGATTTCTACTTCAAAGTCACCACCTTGGGTGCTTTTTCCAGTTAAGTTTACTTCCATGTATGTACTTACTACTTTCTTGTATGATTGTGGGACAGGCCGGAACTTGGGTCATTGCAGTAGACAGACCTTGTCTTTCCTTGCTTCGAGCATAGCAATGATGTGTATTTGCAGCCCACTACTTCCTGTATATCCAGTAATCACTGTGACTCAGCCATTGACTCCCATTAACTACCTTGAGGACATCTTGTAATCCACACTGTCATCAGAGGAAAAAGCAGCTCTTCCCCATAAGCAGTTTGAGCAAGTGCCCCTTGCATACCCTCAAATAGACAGGACAGCCCGGGGACTGGAGAAGGGGCTTCACTAGAATTATAAGAATTGTAAAAACCGGGGAAGAGAGAGCACAGCCAACAAATGGTAGTATGACTCCCCCGTGCCTTTCCCCTGCAAGATGTGGCATGCTCTCTCCCCTGGAAGTTGCTTACCAGCTGGCGTGCTGAGTGGGTGGGGAGGGACTGGAGAGTCACAGAGTATTAGGATACTGTGGCAAAAGAGTTTCAGGCCGTGGTGCTGAAGTGATGGAGAAGCGTGTGTTACTGTTGAGGAGGAAATCTAGGAGTCTGATGGGCCTTGCGATCTGAGACTTCACACAAGTGCAAAGAGCCAACACAAAAAAGGCCTTAGCGGGAGAAATGTGAGCTGTGCCCCAGAAATAAGATATCCAATTTGGCCAGGGTAGAGGTTAGCTGAAGACATAGTAAAAGAAAGCCCTGGAAAGGTAAGTTGGCCGTGGCATGTGCCAGCGTTAGCATTTTGCATGTGGCTTGTGGCCATCGTAGATTGTGGAGTAAGCATAGGCTTCTACAGTTCAGGAAGGTTTAAGAGACCATGATGAATGTGTCATGACAGGGCCAGTAGGACTACCAATAAATCACACATTTTACTGTCAGTTATTCCATTGTTCGAGAATTGGCTTCCTCCCCCCTCTCTATCCTTCAACCATCCCCAGTCCGGGGATTTAATAATACCTGATAAGGTCTTATTACTCCCGGCTTTGGTAAAGTTGCTTACAGCAGAGGTGAAGCTGAAATAAATTACATGTACATGAAACTGCCCGAACTTGACAAATAGTGGTCTCTGGTCTCCGGCCTAGTGGAAAGGTCAAGGGAATGCTCAATAGGCAGCAGCTCGAGGGTTTTCCGGGGGCAACCGGCCTTAGGCCACTTGACTCTTTGGTGTTTTCAGTTAGTCTGTATGAAAAATATGACTAAATACTTACCAAGCGCCTGGCTTACAAGTGAGGCAATGTTTACACTGCTCGTTGGGATTCTTGGGCAAAAGCTGCTGGTCCGCACGGGAGGCCTGATGACCACAGGGGTCAAGGAGGCGGCGGAAGGATGTTGGGAAAACCTCCAGTCCCCACCCACAGGATTCTCGCCTCCTTAGTAACCTGCTCACAGTCCAGGCTTGTCTTTTGGCCAACTTCAGCAGAGTCGTTCAGTTGTAAGTACTTTTAGGAGCATGTACAGAAAAACTGTGGCATTTTACAATCCCGGGTAGAATAGTGGGAGATGAGAAAACAGGCCTATCAGACAAGGGGTATGTATCACAGATCACATGCAGTATTTTAAATGTCTCGTATCACTAAATAATAAGCCTTTGAGGCAGAAATTATTTTTCCTCCACCACATAATACTTAGCTTTTAAATGTAGCTACCACATTAGTGTCAGTCACCTTGCAGTCTTAAGTAGTTATTACTTCCAAGTTAGTTTTATAAAGTGAGAAACTATAGACCAATCTCTCCCATGAATGTTGTTGCAAAATTCAAAGTTTTAGCAAACTGAGTCCAGTGACATATAGTAAGTGATCTATTGTATTATTTTCCACAAAATATTGTGGTGCCTATCCCTTTGCAGTGCCCCCCCCATGAGAGGTTTATATATCCCTGCCCTTGAACTTAGGTGTCACCCTGTGGCTTGTTTTGGCCAATGAATTTGTGAGTGGAAGTGACAGGCAAGACTTCCGAGTAGAAGTTTTAAGCGCCAGCCCTTGGTTCCCCATGTCCTCTTTTCTCTCTTCCCTAAAATCAGTAATGTTCTAGACTGTAGCTACTCCAGGGGCTTAGGTTCTGGAATGAAGACGATATGTATGTAAAAGAGCTTACGCACGAGACAGGCAGCATGAACGAGAAATAACCATCATAAGCCCCTAAAATCAGGGCCCATTTTTACATCAGCTTAATCTCGCCTATTGTAATTGTTAACATTGACAAAGAGAGATTTATTTCAGGAATGCAGGATGGTTCAATACATTAATAGAGCTAAGGAGGAAAATTATGATACTTTTGTAGTTACGGAAAGGCACTGACATAGTAAAAACAAATGAGAATCGAGAGTTTCTCTCGCACAGGGGAGCGCATGCGCGGACGCCTATTCCCCAAAGCCGGTGTCTGACTCAACTGGAAAACTACCAGAGGTTTTTTCCGTTCAAGTCAGAAACAAGATAAGGATACACTGTATCCACTATTATTTAACATTGTGTTGTATCCAATGTACTTAGGCAAAAAATAAAAAAGCAAGAGGCCTAAAAACTAGGAAGAGTAAAGCAGGTGCTGTTTATGTAGTTGAGATGATTATGTATCTGCAAAACCCAAAGAATCTGTGGAAACCTACAGAGTATTTAGTAGAGGATGTAAGATTAATATATAGAAACAATCTTCTTCCCATATACAAATAATAACCAGTTAGAAGAAATAATGGCGATCAGACCCTATCTATGGTAGCAAAAACCAAATTATTTAGGAAAAAAACTTAGCAAGAAATCTGCCGAATTTACATGAGAAGTGCTAAAACATTACTGACAGATACAAAAGTACAACTGGACAAATGGAAAGACTTACCACATTCATGGATAGCAAGGTTCTTCATCAGAAAGATGCCAGTCCTCTCGGAGTAAAATTTAATGGGATACCGATCAAAATAACATTAGGGATTTTTTAAAGTTAGATAAGCTAATTAGTTGTAAACTCATTAGGAAGAATAAGCAAAGGTAGCCAGGAAATCCCTGCAGAGAGCAAGAGCAAGGAGGGAGGGAACATACTTATAAATGAATAATACAGTACTGACACATGAAGAGACTGTGCAGTGACACAGCATAGAAAATACAGAAGTATATCCAAGTGCACATGGAAACCTGGTTATGATAATAGGTAGCATCCAAGTCAGGGGAGGAGTGGAAGACATCTGAAAAATGATGATAGCTGATAGCTAGATGCAAAAGATAAAAACCTGATCGCTACACAAAAAGATAACCTCAGATCTGTTGTTCACCGTACAAATTCCAATTAGATCAAAGATCTAAATGTAAAAATGAAACCATCTAGATACTAGCAAAAATATAGGTAACTCTTAGAACCTGGAAGTAGGGAAACTTTTCCAACCACGAGTCACCATCTACAAGTGATAAGGGAAATTAATAAACTTGACTATATAAAAACAGATTTCTGCATGTCTAGAAATAACAAAAACAAAACAAAAAGCAAGTGATAAACTGGGGGAAATATTTACATTTTTTTAAAAGATGTATTTATTTGAGAGAGGGAGAGTGGGGGTGG